AAGCTCCGTTTCGCAACTGAAGTGGAAAAAGTAAACGACGACGATTGCATCTGTGATTGCTCTCCGTCTGCCTCGAAAAATCAAAACCTAGCCAGAGTAGACGTGGAATTGGAACTTCCTTGGGCTGAGAGGGGAAATATTTCAGGATGGCCGAGAGAGCCGAGGCTGAAGACGAACGCGCTTGCAGATTTCGTTCCAAGACTGTCCCCGAGTCTTTAGGCGAGAAATTTAGACGAGTAGTCAATGTCTAGGTAGTTAGACCGACCGGCGGCGAGTTAGACGACCTTCATCGACTTCGAGGAAAGAGAAACGAAAAGAAAAAAGAGAAAAAAAAAAAAAAAAAAAGAAACGCGATGTGGTCGACGATGGTGCGGATACAATTTTGACAATCTTTTTTGTATTACATCTCGATACCTTATTAGGATAATCCGGAAATAGAACGAGAAGAAACGAAAGGCGAAAAGAAGTCACGGGCAACGCGATTTATAAACTGGAAGGTTGAAGCGTACTCGCAAGATGGGCATTTTTATATATTAACGGTGAGGCGAGGACAAATAGAGACATACCCGTGAAATATACCCGCGAACGATAGGCATTTTTATATCCCAGAGAAAAGGGAAGGGGGGAGGGGAGAAAAAAAAAAATTGTAAAAGTGGAAATAAATCGAACAGAAAATGTTGGACTCCCGATGACACGTTGCATTTCGACTCCATGCGTCTCCAAGATATGCGTACTTGAAACCAGTCGGCGAATACTTAACACGATACGAGGCGAATCAATCGATGCCTACGATCGAATTAACGATTCCCATTACGTCACTCAGCCATTCCAAAAATCGCGTCTCTGACGCAGGAGAGAAATAAACACGCGATCTCGCATTCAAGGATGCGACTCGCAATTTTATTCTTCTATTTTTTTTTTCCCCCCTCTTCTTTCCTTTGCTCCTTTTCTTTTTTTCCTTCAAGCATCTATCTTTCTCCGACATGTTGATCCGTGTATTTTTCTCTCGTTTTTCTTGTCGTTTCAACGACTATTATCCACGGTATACAGAGAGGAAAAACTCGACAAATCTTCTGTTGCATTAAATGATTGATAGCTGTTAACTGTTCTCGATGATGTGAAGTTTCCTGTCCAGATGGTACGGATGGCAGTGACGTTATGTAAAACAGGCATTCCCTTGATGAATAACAAGCCTGGCCAATTTATGCTAATAGTAACAAGAATCAATTAATCAACCGTGACAATTCGAGCGCGGTGTTTGTTAAAAAAAAAAAAAAAAAAAAAAAACGAAAAACCAAAAGAATGCAAATAATACGTGAATTCAGCGACAAGAGTGGAGACTGGTTTCTAGTCTTTTGATATAGTCACTGTGTACGAAACATGCCTGTCAGAGACTATCGCACACGATTAAATAAAATCTGAATGTGCTCAAAGTTGGTTTTTACGCTTCTCTTCCTCCTCATCGTCGTC